ATATTAATGTGGTACATTTCTTATAATTAACGAACCAATATTAATGCATTGTTATTAGCCAAAGTTCCTATTTACTCATATTGTCTCAGTTTTTATTTATCATCCTTTTTTCCTGTTCCAGAATCCCACCACTTTTTGGCGTACGCATACCCCCACTAAACTCTTGTCATGTTTTATCCTAGCTTGGCAATGAATCATTTGTTATTGTCCTTACAAATCGGCATTTTCAGGTATCCAATGGAATAAGGGCTTTCCTGCTTTAGAAAAATGAGAGCATGGTTTTGTAATCTTGAGTGACCTTTAAGTTTAGAGGTACTTGAGAAAAATAAGAGAGTGAGGAAAATGGAGAGGTATAACCAGCAACAGACATTTTGAGAATGATGCTTGGGAACTCTGCACACAAATACCACATATACCAGCAACAAGAAAAACAAGAGCAGTGGAAAAGGCAGAGGAAAGGAGTGTGGAGAACTGTACTCTAGCCCTACCTGCATTTGCCTTCGTGCTGCACGGACTCTTCACTTCTTTGGAGTGGCTGCCTCATCTATAAAGTGAGCAGACTGGGGCAGCCGGCCGCTATAGTTCTATTCATTACAGTACATGATCTGAGGTGTATTTGATTTGGTTTTGATTAAACCTGAGACATAAATATTCTATTCAATATATCATTAAGCAATTTCTTCTTGAACTAAATATACTTCCTTATTTTGCTTTTCGTTAATTTTTATTTACTATTAGCCCAGTAACATTGGACTAACTACTTTAAGGCAAAGGAAAAAAGCACATTTATACTTCTGTAAAGTTTATTTCTTTATCTAGTCAATATTATACAGACAGCCTCAAGTCTTTGGAAAACATTTCAGAGACAGTCACATTAGAATTGGACTCTTTTAAGGCACACTAGAGGCTGTAAATTCTCAGCCAAATATTTGTGATCCCACATAAACCAAAACCAAAAGGAAATTAAATGTTTTAGGACCTTGTTTTCTAAACCCTGCCCTTGTATTGATACTTGGTAGTTGAAAGGAAGGACAATCCTGTAAATTAAAACAGTCATTTGGAAGAATAATTTAGGGCTTTAACATATAAATTTGTATAAGAAGCATTCTGTAGAATTCTCATAAAGTCAATGTGTAAAAATCACTCAGTGCTGTCTTGGCTTATGGTAATCACTCAGCGTTCTCAGCATTTTATAAAATAAGGTTTAGCATTCATTGGGCCTTGATTAACTAAATTAGCTATGAGCTAATTTTTTAATTTTTTCTTTCAGTGTAATGTTAAGGCACCAGTTGTTATTATCATTTTTTACAATCTGTGGATTTTCAGGAGAGTTATGTGCAAAGGTTTTGTCATTTTGAGTCATTTTCACAATTTTCTAGTGAAGATAATATTTACAGGGAATATGTGCCTTGAAAATAAGCTTTATTTTACAGAATTATACTGTGGAGAAAGATTTTCTTCAAAATTAATTTCAACAACCCCAATTCTGTGAAAACTAACTTGCCTATTCTGGATGGAAACTTGATTTCCACCTGGTTTATAGTGTGCTAAAAAGAAACAAGTGTAGATGGATGCTTATGGTACTCTGTACTTGTCTTCAAGTCTCTATCCCATAGACTGGGACCCGTGCCCCCTGGGAAAAGTCTGTGTCTTTCCTGGCACCTTACTTATAAAGAGCTCGATATATATATTAAAATAACAAACTTTAGGTTCCAAATATAAGGAGAAAAGCAATTCTAAAATCCAGTCTTTAAGGGGACACTGGGCAGAAGTGGTGGATAGTGGTTGTGGCTAAACATTCTCCAAATCTTCAGCACCAACAACACTACCCCAAGTAAAATCTGTGTACAGGTAAGCAAAGCTTCAAGGGAAGTCTGTTTGGCCCTCCTTCCCCCCAGATGGTCTTAGATGCCTCTTACACAGCAATTTTGGAGCTGACACTGCAGAGTTTTATTTGGGGGCTTCCTGTTTCTAGCAAGTATTCCATTTATGTTGAGATTTCATTCATAAGCTTTGAGAATATGTTCCCCTAGAGCCTACATTCATTTTATTTTTTCAAAAACAAATACACTGGCATTCCTGAATACTTACTGTTTTATCTCCCCTAGAGGTGAGCCCCTTACACACTAGAAATAGCAATTTTATAGTTCCATTTTACGCCAGCCCTTTTCATTCTGTGGGCTAGTATGATGCTTTTTTTTTTTTTTTTTTTTTTGCATACTGAAAGCTCAATAACTAGTTTGAGATAGACCTATATGCTCACACAGTCCAGTGGAATTCTAACCTCATTGCTTTGTAGATAACAAGTTCTTCAAACTGCTCTGGGTTATTTAGTGGCCAGTGAACACTGTGATCTGTACTGATATCTGGAGAAACTTCTGCATGTAGACATCAACAAAATGTGTGTCAGGAATGGTATTCAGACTATACTTTTCACCTTGCCTCAGGGACACACAATTCTACCAAAATGAGTAAAATATATTTGGATGAATGATTAAAACCTTATAAAGTATAACTATTTTATACTGAGCATCCAGTATATGCAGTAACCAAGCTAGGCATTTTTTCTTTTTTCTTTTTTTTTGGATACAGAGTCTTGCTCTGTTGCCCAGGCTGGAGTGCAGTGGCACAATCTCAGCCCACTGCAACCTCAACCTCCCAGGTTCAAGCAATGCTGTTGCCTTGGCCTCCCAAGTAGCTGCAATTACAGGTGTGCACCACCATGCCTGGCTAATTTTTGTTTTTAGTAGAGACAGGATTACACCGTTTTGGCCAGGCTCCACTGGAACTCCTGACTGTAAGTGATACAATCACCTCAGCCTCCCAAAGTGCTGGGATCACAGGTGTGAGCCACCACACCCTGCTCCAAGTCAGGCATTTTATACTCGTTATTTCTGATCCTTTAAATAACTCTTCATTGTTATTCCCATTTGTAGATGAAGAGGCTCAGAGAAGTTATATAACTTTCCCTTCAACTAGTAAATGGCAGATCTACGTTTAGAATATATTAACGGTAAAATTCTCTTTCTTTTCATTACATAACTAGTCTCCTAAGATGAAGTTTGTCTCTGATTCCCTTGAAAGAAAACCTTGGAGCAGATATCTAACAATTTCCCCACAGGATTATTTTCATAGTGACTTGTCAATATCACATTAACTCCATAAATTATCTTTATGACTGTTTGGATGCTGTTCAAGGTGACAGGTTCATTTTTCTCCTATGTTAATGTATTCCTTAGCGATAATGTCTGTAGACTGTAGACAAACTCCTGTGCCGCATGCTTCTCATCTGATAAACAGTAGTGTGGCAAAAAGCCTTCAAACATACACCGTGCACCTTGTCATTGAGATTTTTAAGAACATTTGATGGTAACAAATATAAAAATAATACAGAGAATATAACATTCACATGAATCAGAAGATACATCTCACAATTTCAGAGACATGGCTTCTCCTTTATTCCAGAACACTTGGCAGGTATCCATTCATTCTCTTTTGACTTCTTGAAACATTTTTGAAGCATTTGCCTTCCCTATTTGCAAAAAAGCAATCCTCTGGTTTTTTTTTTTTTCTTTTTTTACAAATTATACTTCCACTTTAGACATTCTTTCATATTTTAACTTCCTTTTCTTAAGAGGCAACAGTTACTGGAGAACTTGAATAAGGAGGAAGCAGATGTTAAGTGTAGCTTTTCCACTAGTGATCATTCTTCTCGTTGTGCTTTTCCTTCTCATTGAGGAGATTGAGAAGATGCAATACTCCTTTCCCCACTCATTGATTAAGACTCTTTGCACCACTTATTGATCTATCACAAACTTTAATGTCCAGAGAGGGAAAAGGTTTATAAGCCCACCTGTATCAATCATCATAAGTATAGGCTGAAACGCTTCCATTTATATTTTACTCCACACTAGACATCACGTAAGTGCTTCACAAGTATTCAGTTTTTATTCAAGTAAACTTATTTCTCCATTTTGTGGATAAGGACATATAGGCTGAAACACTTCCATTTATATTTTACTCCACACTAGACATCACGTAAGTGCTTCACAAGTATTCAGTCTTTATTCAAGTAAACTTATTTCCCCATTTTGTGGATAAGGACAAGGGAGTTTTGTGGGTTCTAAGCAACATGGTTAGCAGGTTGTAGAGCTTGATTTTGTTTTGGTGATGGAATAGCAGGCACTGAATTTTTATTATTTGTTTATTTTCTTCCTACAAAGGAATCATTACTAACATTTATCAAACCTCTAAAATACATTATTAGACATTAGTTTATGCACATAGGCATGCAATTACTGGTTATACTTAACACTGGGAGAGAGGAAGAAGATATACTTTTAACAACAATGTTTTACAGAGAGTATCGAAATACTGCTGCTGTCTCTGGAAATTAAAGAAATAGCCTCTTGGTGGATCAGAATTCAATGTTAAGCAGTAGAAAAGAGGTTAGACAAGCCCTGTGTACCTCTCCCTAACATATCTAAATGATCCATTTTTAGATAACTTGGACACAGGCTAACTTGTCAATCAATAAAAAAGCATTATTTTCTTCAATGGCAATGCCATTTTTCTATCATAAACCATCATGTTCTTAAGAATAGGATCTGATTACTTGCTGAAAGAACAGCTCAACATCACAACACTGACTTCTAAAAATACACACACACACACACACACACACAATCACACAAATTTGGTAGACATTTCTAGTGTTTAAAGGTACAATTTCAAGTCACTCCTCAGAGAAATCAATTGATTCTGCTAGTTTGGTAAATTTTGCAGATAACTCCTGGCAGGTCCATCAAAGTCGAGTGCAGTTTAAACCAGATATTCTAGAGAATTTATATTGAACATCTCTCAGGTTACTAGTACTACCCAGTACTGAACTCTCTGTGCTAAAATCTTTGCCATAATGTTTTATGTTACATGTCACAAATCTTTTTCTGTAAAGGACCAGACAGGAACTATATTAAGCTTTATGAACCATATAATCTCTGTCACAACTACTCAACTCCTCATGTTGTAACATGAAAGCAGCCACAGATAATACACAAATGAATGATCATGGCTATGTTCCAAAAAAACTTTATTGATACAAACTACTGGTAGACCAGATTTGGCCTGTGGATTATAGTTTGCTGACCTATGTTCTATGATATAGAATCTTGAGTCTTCTTTCTAAGGATAGCATTGTTTAGGAGCTTAGCAAAATCAGTGATCATTTGTCCTGTTTAAAGGATGCCCTTTCTTCCAGTCAAATATACTGTCAGTGTTCACAATTTTTAAAAAGAAATCTCAACTTGAATATGCAGTAAAGAATGAGACACACCACCAGCTCAGTGGCTCATGCCTGTCATCAGAAGGCTGAGGCCAGCAGATCACAAGGTCAGGAGATAGAGCCCATCCTGGCCAACGTGGTGAAACCCCATCTCTACCAAAAATACAAAGATTAGTTGGGCATGGTGACACATGCCTCTAGTCCCAGCTACTCGGGAGGCTGAGGCAGGAGAATCGCTTGAACCCAAGAGGTGGAGGTTGCAGTGAGTTGAGATTGCACCACTGACTCCAGCCTGGCAACGGAGTGAGACAGTCTCAAAAAAAAAAAAAAATGAGAAACACAAAAAACACAAACTATTCATAAAACATATGCTCTTTAGCAATTTTTAAATGGCTCTAAAATTTAAAACTGGAGCATCTTTATATCTTGCAAAAACGACAAATATGTTTCAGTGCGTGATAGCTCTGAGGTCAAAAGTGGGGAAGACTGAACTAGGTAAAGGATGAAATGAGGCTGAGTGGGAGTATTTCCAGGTGGAGCCACAGTATGTGCAAAAGTCCTGGGGTAGGAGAAAGCAATTACTTTAAGGAATCTGAAAGAAACCTAGGGTGTCTTTTATTATTATTATTATTATATTTTAAGTACTGGGGTACATGTGCAGATCCTGCAGGATTGTTACATGTCATGGTGGTTTGCTGCCTCCATACCCCCACCACCTACATGAGGTATTTCTCTTAATGTTATCCCTCCCCAACCTCCCCACCCCTTGCTATCCCACCCCTACTTCCCCACCTCCCAAGAGATCCCAGTGTGTACCCACTTATGAGTGAGAACATGCAGTGTTTGGTTTTCTGTTCTTGTGTCAGTTCGCTAAGAATGATGGTTTCCAGCTTCATCCATGTCCCTGCAAAGGACATGAACTCATCCTTTTTTATGGCTGCATAGTATTACACGGTGTTTATGTGCCACATTTTCTTTATCCAGTCTATCATTGATGGGCATTTGGGTTGGTTCCAAGTCTTTGCTATTATAAACAGTGCCACAATGAACATATATGTGTATGTGTCTTTATAATAAAATGATTTATAATCCTTTGGTTATATACCCAGTAATGGAATTGCTGGGTCAAACGTTATTTCTATTTCTAGATCCTTGAGGAATCGCCACACTGTCTTCCACAATACTTGAACTAATTTACACTCCCACCAACTGTGTAAAAGCATTCCTATTTCTCCACATCCTCTCCAACATCTGTTGTCTCCAGATTTTTTAATGATCACCATTCTAACTGGTGTAAGATGGTATCTCAGGTGGTTTTGATTTGCATTTCTCTAATCACCAATGATGATGAGCATTTTTTCATATGTTTGTTGGCCACATAAATGTCTTCTTTTGAAAAGTGTCTGTTCATATTCTTTGCCCACTTTTTGATGGGGTTGTTTGATTTTCTTGTAAAGTTGTTTCAGTTCTTTGTAGATTCTGGATATTAGCCCTTTGTCAGATAGGTAGCTTTCAAAAATTTTTTCCCATTCTGTTGGTTGCTGGTTCAATCGGATGACTGTTTCTTTTGCTGTGCAGAAACTGTGGAGTTTAATTAGATCCCATTTGTCTACTTTGGCTTTTGTTGCCATTGCTTTTGGTGTTTTAGTCATGAAGTCCTTGCCTATGCCTATGTCCTGAATGGTCTTGCCTAGGTTTCCTTCTAGGGTTTTTATGGTGTTAGGTCTTGTGTTTAAATCTTTAATCCATCTGGAGTTAATTTTTGTATAAGGTTTAAGGAAGGGGTCCAGTTTCAGCTTTCTGCACATGGCTAGCCAGTTTTCCCAACATCACTTATTAAACAGGGAATCCTTTCCTCATTGCTTGTTTTTGTCACGTTTGTCAAAGATCAGATGGCTTAGATGTGTGGCCTTATTTCCAAGGCTTCTGTTCTGTTCCATTCGTATATATCTCTGTTTTGGTACCAGTACCATGCTGTTTTGATTACTGTAGCCTTGTAGCACAGCTTGAAGTCAGGTAGCAAGAAGTCAGGTAGCCTCCAGCTTTGTTCTTTTTGTTTAGGTTTGTCTTGGCTATACGGGCTTTTTTTTGGTTCCATATGAAGTTTAAGGTGTTTTTTTTTTTCAGTATTGTCAAGAAGGTCAATGGTAGCTTGATGGGGATAGCATTGAATCTATAAATTACTTTGGGCTGTATGGCCATTTTCCCAATATTGATTCTTCCTAACCATGAGCATGGAATGTTTTTTCCATCTGTTTGTGTCCTCTCTTATTTCATTGAGCAGTTCTCCTTGGAGGTTTGTAGTTCTCCTTGAAGAGTTCCTTCCGTCCTTTGTTAATTGTATTCCTAGGTATTTTATTCTCTTTGTAGCAATTGTGAATGGGAGTTCCCTCATGATTTGGCTGTCTGTTTGTCTGCTATTGGTGTATAGGAATGCCTGTGATTTTTGCACATTGATTTTGTATCCTCAGACTTTACTGAAGTTGCTTATCATCTTAAGGAGATTTTGGGCTGAGATGATGGGGTCTTCTAAATATACAGTCATGTTGTCTGCAAATAGAGACAATTTAACTTCCTCTTTTCCTAGTTGAATATCCTTTATTTCTTTTTCCTGCCTGATTGCTCTGGCCAGAACTTCCATTACTATGTTGAATAGGAATGGTGAGAGAGGGCACCATTGTCTAGCACCAGTTTTCAAAGGGAATGCTTCCAGTTTTTGCCCATTCAGTATGATATCGGCTGTGGGTTTGTCATAAATAGCTTTTATTATTTTGAGATATATTCCATCAATACCTAATTTATTGAGAGTTTTTAGCATGAAGGGCTGTTAAATTTTGTCAAAGCCCTTCTCTGCATCTGTTGAAATAATCATGTGGTTTTTGTCTTTAGTTCTGTTTATGCGACTGATTACATTTATAGATTTGTGTATGTTCAACCAGGCTTGCATGCCCAGGATGAAGCCTACTTGATTGTGATGGATAAGCTTTTTGATGTGCTGTTGCATTTGGTTTGCCAGTAGTTTATTGAAGATTTTTGCATCGATGTTCCTCATTGGTATTGGCCTGAAATTTTCTCTTTTAGTTGTGTCTTTGCCAGGTTTGGTATCAGGATGATGCTGGTCTCATAAAATAAGTTAGAGATGATTCCCTCTTTTTGTATTGTTTGGAATAGTTTCAGAAGGAATGGTACCAGCTCCTCTTTGTACATCTGGTAGAATTCGGCTGTGAACTCCTCTGTACCTGGACTTTTTTTGATTGGTAGGCTATTAATTGCTGTCTCAACTTCAGACCTTGTTATTGATCTATTCAGGGATTCAATTTCATCTGCAGGACTCTTCAACCCAAATCCACAGAATATACATTCTTCTCAGCACCACATCACACTTACTCTAAAATTGACCACATAATTGGAAGTAAATCACTCTTCAGCAAATGCAAAAGAATGGAAATCATAACAACCAGTCTCTCAGACCACAGTGCAATCGAATTAGAACTCAGGATTAAGAAACTCACTCAAAACCGCACAACTACATGGAAACTGAACAAACTACTCCTTCATGACTGCTGGATAAATAATGAAATGAAGGCAGAAATGAAGATGTTCTTTGAAACCGATGAGAATGAAGAGAATGAAGACATAACATACCAGAATCTCTGGGACACATTTAAAAGAGTGTCTAGAGGGAAATTTAAAGCACTAAATGTACACATAAGAAGCAAGGAATGATCTAAAATCAACACTCTATCATCACAATTAAAAAAAACTGGAGGAGCAAGATCAAACATATTCAAAAGCTAGCAAAAGACAAGAAATAACTAAGATCAGAGCAGAACTGTAGGAGATAGAAACTCAAAAAACCCTTCAAAAAATCAACAAATCCAGGAGCTTGTTTTTTGAAAAGATCAACAAAATAGACCGCTAGCCAGACTAATGAAAAAGAAGACTGAAGAATCAAATAGATGCAATAAAAAACGATAAAGGTGATATCACCACCGATTCCACAGAAATACAAAGTACCATCAGAGATTACTACAAACAACTCTATGCACATAAACCAGTAAATCTAGAAGAAATGGATAAATTTCTGGACACTTACACCCTCTCAAGAAGAAACCTAGGGTGTCTGAAACACAGACAACAAGGAAGAGAGTGGTAGAAGGCTGGCCTGAAGGTGAGCATGAATGAGATGATAGAGCACCCACCTTACAGGCAAGGTGAAGGATTTTAGTTTTTATTCAGAGGACAATGGGAACATACTGAGAAGATATAAACAATGACACAGAAGAATCATACAGAAAAATTTAAAAAGTGACTCTGATGGTGGTGACCAGTAGACTAAAGAGGGAAGGTGATGTTGCAGCAAGACAATTTGGATGCCACTGAGTAGTCCATGTGAGAGAGACTGATGGCTTGGGTGGGAGTGGTGGTAGTAGGGATAAAAGAGCTTGCCATGAACAAATTAGATATAAGAGGAGTTCAAATAGGTAGAGTTTAATGGGCTGTATATGGGAGGTAAGAAAAAGTAGGCACCAGATATGACTGCTAAATTAAACAATTGAATGAGCTGGGTAGATGGTGTGGCCATGCCCTGAGACATTCATTGGTGGAGGATCAGATGATGGAGTGGGAGAGAATGTTTGGTTTTTGACATGTTAAATTTGTATACTTTTAGAGTCACCCAATATAAATGTCAAATAAAGTCTGGAATACAGGGAAAAGAGCTGAACTTTAGTAATCAGATAGGAAATCTTTAGCAGGTAGATGGTTCATTGAAGCTAGACTGCAAACGAAATAAAGAGGGAGTGAGAGGAGAGCCCAGGGCAGCCCTGGGAGAGAACTCCTTTTTCATAACTGGTAGGGAAGAATTCCAGCTTATGATCCCTAGTGGAGTCTTTGGGAAAATCTAAATAATTTACTCGGTTTGTTTCGAATACATACAATGTGTAAGGCATCAATCTAGACTCTGGTGATGCAGCAGTAAAGGACACAAAGTCCTTGCCTGCAAAATCTAAACTAATTTAAAAAGTGGACCTCTCTACCTCTGTTCTGCAAATGTTGCTTCTTGAGGCAACCAGAGTGCTATATCTCTCCTCATGTTAATTTTTTCTTTGTATGTCTTGTCAGAGATCTCAATTCCCAAAACACACTGAGGGAAGTAGTTATCATACATGGCTGGGGAATCATCCAACCTCCGAGTTCAATGCAGTGGGCAGATGACAGTAGCAGGAGGTCTCCTGGGGAAGAGATGGGATAGTAATGCATGCTGAGGGTTATGGTTTTGATGGCTTCCTTCTGAACCAAACCTGCATATCTCGGCGATGTTGCAGGTTTGGTTTCAGACCACTGCAATAAAGTGCATATTGCAATAAAGTGAGTCACTTGAAATTTCCCATTTCCTGGTGTTTATAAACATTATGGTTATACTATACTATATTAAGGGTGTGATAGCATCATATTTATAAAACAATATACATACATTAATTAAAAATACTTGGCTGGATGCAGAGTATCACACCTACAATCCCAGCACTTTGGGAGGCTGAGACGGATGGATTACTTGAGGTCAGGACTTCCAGACCAGCCTGACCAACATGATGAAACTCCATTTCTACTAAAAAATCAAAAATTAGCCGGGCATGGTGGCATGTGCCTGGGAGCACTTGCTTGAGAGGCTGAGGCAGGAGAATTGCCAGAACCTGGAAAATTGGAGTGAGCTGAGATTGAGCTGCTGCACTCCTGTCTGGGCGACAAGAGTGAGACTCTGTCTCAAACAAACAAACAAAAAATTAATTGCTAAAAATACTAATGATCATACGAGCCTTCAGCAAGTCAGAATCTTTTAGCTGGTAGAGACTGCCTCAATGTTGATGGCTGCTGACTAATCAGGGTGATGGGTACTGAAGTTTAGGGTGGCTGTTGCAATGTTAAAATATGACAGCAATACATTGATTGACTCTTCATTTGACAAAAGATCTCTCTGTAGAATGTTATGCTGATTGATAGCATTTACCTATAGCAGAACGTCTCTTGAAATTGGAATCAATCCTCTCAAACTCAACAGCTGCTTTTTCCACCAAGTTTATGGAATATTCTAAATCCTTGGTTGTCATAAATGTTCATAGCATTTTCACCAGGAGTAGATTCCATCTACTTTCTTTGTCATTCATAAGAAGGAGGAAATCACTTTCTTTGTTATTCATAAGAAGCAACTCCTTATCCGTTCAAGTTTGATCATGAAATTACAGCAACTCAGTCACATCTTCAGGCTCCACTTCTAATTCTAGTTCCCTGGCTCTTTCCACCATATCCGCAGCTTTCTCCACTGAAATCTTGAAGCCCTCAAAGTCATTCATGAGAGGTGGAATCAGCTACTTTCAAACTCCTATTAGTCTTGATATTTTGATCTCCTTCGATGAATCACACATATTCCTAATAGTATTTACATGGTGAATCCTTTCCAGAAGGTTTTCAATTTACTTTGCCGACGTCCATCAGAGAAATCATTATCTATGGCAGCTATACTCTTATCAAATGCATTTCTTAAGTAATAAGATTTGAAAGTGGAAATTACTTCTTGATCAGTGAGCAGCAGAATGGATATTGTGTGAGCAGGCATGAAAACAACATTCATCTCCTTGTACATCTCCATCAGAACTCTTAGGTGACCAGGCACGTTGTCAATGAGGAGTAATATTTTAGGAAAAGAATCTTTTTTGTGAGCAGTAGGTCACAGCAGTGGGCTTATTCAGTAAACCACACTGTAAACAGATGTGTTTTCATCCAGGGATTGTTGCTGTACTTACAGAGGACCAGCAGAGTAGATTTAGCATCATTCTTTTTTTTTCTTTCTTTTTCAACTTATACTTTTGAATCAGTGGGTGCATGCACAGATTTGTTACAAAGGTATATTGTGTGTTGCTGAGGTTTGCAGTACAAATAAATCCATTCCCCAAGGAGTGAGTGTAGTATCCAATACTATGCAAAATTGACAAGTGGGACCTAATTAGTCTCTGTACAGCAAGAGAAACCATCAAGGGAGTAAACAGACTACCTACAGAGTGGGAGAAAATATTCGCACACTATGCATCTGACAAAGGCCTAAAATCCAAAATCTATAAGGAACATAGACAAATCTAAAAACATCATCTTAAAAGCCCTAGGATTTTCAGAATGGTAAATGAGAATTGGGTTCAATTTAAAGTCAGCAGTTGGTTTTGCTCTTAACAAGAGATTCAGCCTATCCTTTGAAGCACTGAAGCTAGCTACGAGAAAGACGTTGACGGCAGTTCTTCCCATAGAAGGTTGTTTTGTCTACTTTGAAAAACTGGTTGGTTAGTGTAGTTACTTTAATCAATCGTTTTTGCTAGATATTCTGGATAATTGCTGCAGCTTCTGCATTAGCACCTGCTGCTTCACCTCACATTCTGATGTTATGGAGATGGTTTCTGTCTTCAAACATGAGCCAATCTTTGCTAGCTTCAGGCTTTTCAGCCTTCATAGAATTAGAGAGTTAGGGCCTTGCTCTAGATTAGGCTTTGGTTTAAGGGAATGTTGTGGCTAGTGTGATCTTCTCTCCAAACCACTCAGATTTCCCCCAAATCAGCAATAAGGCTGTTTCACTTCCTATCGTTCATGTGTTTACTAAAGTAGCACTTTTAATTTCCTTCAAGGAACTTTTTCTTGGTATTCATGATTTGACTGGTGCAAGAGGCATAGCTTTTGTCCCGTCTTGGCTGTCACGTGCCTTCCTCACTAAATGTAATCATTTCTAGCTTTTGATTTAAAGTAAGAGACATAGAACTCTTCTTTTCACTTGAACACTTTGAGGCCATTGCAGAGTTATTCATTGGCCTAATTTTAATATTTTTATATCTCAGGAAATAGGGAGGCCCAAGGAAAGGGAGAGACACTGGGAATGGGTGGTTGGTGGAACAGTCAGA